AGTTGTACCAAATCTGGTTCGAATCAAAGATCTGAAAACCCTAACTTTAGGTTAGGTACGAATCAATGGAAGATATGAAAATATTCGTACTCTCATAGGAAAGCTGATGAACATAGATGGAAACAACATTAAGTTGGAGATTTGAACCAACCTTGGTTCGATCTCCACAGAATCTACTTGCCATTTGAGGCAAGCAAGTTAAGTAACATAAAAATGAGTAGCCTGTAAAGAGAGGAGGCCAAATAAGGTAGGAATCACCAAATGATTCCATTTCTGGGTAGAAATCAAGGGGGAAATAGGAGTGCGGCGCTAGGGTTTCAGAAGAGAAAGGGGAGGGAGATGAGAGCGTTTAAGGGCGACGGGTAGGTGGAAAAATGGGTTAGGGTTAGAGGGGTTGGTATAATTAAAAGGGGTTGGGGTGTTGGGAGCCGTTGATCTTCTGAGACCAACGGTTGGGATTTTAAAGAGGGAATTGGGTCAGGGTTTTAAACGGGTATGGGTCTGGGTTTGGACAGGTATGGGTATTGGATATGGGGTTATTGGGTTAGGCCATTGGGCTGGGATAATAGGTAGTGGGCTAGGTCCGAAATTAATTAAGAAAAAGGCTAGATTTTAAATATCTAATTAAATCAGTAAAATAATATATAAAAGTCATTAATAAATAATAAAAATGTCATTTGTGCATGAAAATGATTTAAAACGATTACTTAACATTATAAAAATATAAAAACTCATTTTTTCTATATGAATAATGTAATTATGCGTATATGTGCTATTATTACAAAATATTACAATTTTAGCCTAAAGATGCAAATATAATTATACATAAAAATGTTTAAAGCTTAATATGGATATGAATGATGAAAAATTAGATAATAAATTTTTATTAAATTATTTGTGATGCAATTAATAATTGTTTATATAAAAAATGCAGGAATAAATTGATTAGAAGCCCTTAAAAATTATAGAAAATTATGAAAAAATACTTAGTGATGCTCACGCACTATTTTGAAGGTATATATGCATATTCAAAATATGTAAGGGAAAAATTGGGTATCAACAATAAATATATAGGCAAACTTGAATAAATAACTGGAATCAACAGAAAATAGGACATTATGCCAATAATTAAACCAGCCACCAACCACAATAAAAACCCTAACTTCAGACAAGAAAAAACAAAAAAGGGACCACATGCAACCCAATATTGACTACCAAATACATTACAAGATTTGAAGAAAACAAAGAATCTAAAAAAACTCATGAAAACACATGGTAAGCAATACAAAAATGCAGATTTCAAAAAACCCTAAACCCTATATTATTCACCAAAATAACAATATAAACTTACTTGAAAGAAGAGTAGAAATCTTGAACTTTAAACGAATAACGTAGCAGAGAATCCCAAGACTTGAGTCGCATTTTTACCCTCTAAAATCGGCGACCATTTTCGTATGAAGCAGTAGGGTTAGGGATGTTTTGGTAAAATGAGATGCGGCCGGTGGTTCTTTGGGTTAAAACGAATTAAAGGGGACGGGTGGGTAATGGGGCGGGTTACGGGTAGGTTAATATTTAGGGATGGTCTGTAACTTCAGCGAATAAAAATATTACACATGGCTTAAAAAAAGGTTTTGTTTTTTTTTAAAAAAATAAAAGGCTGTTAGAAATAGGGGCATGACTGAGCTAGAAGTTAAACGGTAGGTGTACTTTTTATTCGAAAAGGTGGAAGGAGGGCATTATTGTACCAAATTCGATACTTCAGGGGCATTTTCGGCCCTTTCCGTTTAATTTACTATGTCTTTAAAAAGTTGGAAATTTTAAATATAATATTATTCAGTCGAGGTTTTTAAAATAGCAATTTTATACTGTAAAAGTTAATAGTTGGATCCACCAACAAACAACAACAATCCAATATAATCCCACATGTAATGTCCAGAGAGGGTAGTGTGTACGAATACCTTACCCCTACCCTAGGTTATAGATAGAGTTGTCAAAACGGGCCAGCCCAACCCAGCCTAGCCCAAGCCTCATAAGCTTTTAAATTTGGTGGGCTAGGACGGGCCAGCCCGCCACATGAATGGGCCTTAAAATGGCCAGCCCAACCCAGCCCTAAGAGGGTCGCGGGCTAGGGCGGGCCGACCCTTTAAATTTTTTTTTAGAAAAAAGAATTTCTTTAATAACTTAAATATTTTTTCGTGACGTAGTCGATTAATCATGTAAACAACTTCTATTTGCTTAAAGCGTACTAAAAGCTCGATATTTGATGAGGAATCTCGCAATTGAAATGCAAATTTTTTATATCTCTAGCTCTTCTTTTTTAAAGTTATACATGAATATTTTCTTAATGTTTTTCTTTCATTTTTCGTAGATTTAGGTATTGCTTCAATAAGTTTATATGCTGAGCTTTTTTATTTAGGATTAACATCATTTGCTAATTTCATCATTATAGTCTATAAATTTTTTAAAATTCTTGAAATTTCCTATTGGTCAATTTTTTTTTGTATTTAAAATTGATCTTTTTCTATACTGAAGAGCAGTTTAATTATTAATAATATATTAAAGTAACCCAAACTGATCATTGGCCACTTAAGTAATATTTTCTTTTGAAAAAAGATTATTATTGGCTACCTAAAACTTTTCGAGTTCGTTATTAATTAAGCAAAAGAAAAACTAATTTTGTCATATTACATGCATATCAAAATCAAAATTCTAGTTGATATGGAAAGGTACATGAGCAATCTAGGGTTGGGGAATGAGGATTACAGTAAATAGTTTTTTAGTTTTTACTTTTTTTAAATATTAAATATTTAATAGTTAATTAATTTGAATTTAATTAATTTTTGGCCCACGGGCAGGCCCAAGCCCAGCCTCGGTCGAGCCTCAAGGGCCAGCGGGCTGACTTGGGCCGGGCTTATAAGCCTCAGTTTAAAATGGGCTAAAAAAATCCTAGCCCAACCCTACCCAAGTAGCGGGCTGGGTTGGGCTGGCCTCATGGGCCAAGCCCATTTTGACGGCTCTAGGGATAGAGAGGGTGTTTCTGAAAGACCCTCGGTAGAAGGAGATGAAAAAGAGGCAATGGAACAGTAACAATAACATACGTCAGGAAGACAGGACCAGCGATCTAAGAATCAAGAAAATAAATGAAAAATACAGTATCAATAATCTAAACAATGGAAAGGTACTAGAAAATCGGAGTAGAAAAACAATACGAACACAACAAGTGTACCACTATCAAACTAAATCAAGACACCAATTAACTAGCTTAACACCCACAACGGAGAAGAAAAATGCTCAACTACCTACTAAACTGCGCCCCTAATGCTCGCCCTCCAAACATTCTTATCTAAGGTCATGTCCCGGTGAGCTGAAGTCGTGTTATGTCCTGCTTGATCACCTCTCCCCAATATTTTTTAGGCTGCCCTCTACCTTTTCTCATACCTGAGAAGGCCAACCGCTCGCACCTCCTAACTGAGACATCAAGGCTTCTCCTCCGTATGTGCCCGAACCATCTAAGCCTCGCTTCCCGCATTTTGTCATCCATGGGCTCCAACCCCACCTTTGTCCGAATATCTTCATTCCTAATCTTATCCAACATATAGTATGCCGGCACATCCACCTCAACATCCTCATATATGCTACTTTCATCTTCTAGATATGAGAATTCTTGACTAGCCAACACTCTGCCCCGTACAACGTGGCCGGTCTAACCACCGCTCTATAAAACTTGACTTTAAGTTTCGATGTCACTTTTTTGTCACACAAGACGCAAGATGCTAACCTCCGTTTCATCCATTCCGCCCCTATATGGTGTGTGACATCCTCGTCGATCTTCCCACTTCCCTAGATAACTGACCCAAGATACTTAAAACTCCCTTTCTTGGGTTGACATGTGAATCAAGACTTACGTCTCTGTCCGCTTCCCCCGTCACGTTGCTGAACTTGCAGTCCAAGTATTCTATCTTAGTCCTACTCAACTTGAAACCTTAAGACTCAAGGGTCTGTCTCCAAACCTCCATTCTCTCGTCAACATCGCCTCGCATCTAGTCAATCATTACTATAACATTAGCAAATAACATACATCATGACACATCTCCTGAATATGGTGCGTCAGAGCGTTCATCACCAAGGCAAATAGGAAAGGGCCGAGCTCAGATCCTTGGTGTAATTAACCTCAAAACCACCGAAAAATGCTTGGATCCATTTATGGTAATAAACTTGAAACATAACGACGAATATTCAATACCTTATGTTCGCTTCTTTCCAAACCTATAATTAGCATGATCATATATAGAGTCAAACCTTCACTATCCCAACTTGACAACTTGAGCACTTAATTTGTTCGTTACTGAACCACTCATTCTCAATTTTCTTCAGTTTTGGTCAATAGTGACTCGAAGAAAGGAAAAAACAAAAAAAATGGAAATAGAAGAGTTTAGTTGAGCAGACTTTTCCTTCAGTGCTTCATCAACAAGACGACAATGTTTATAAATAACTTTGACTATTTTGAACCTCAAATCTAACAAGACAAGAAAGTAATTTAGCGCAAGACAAAGAAAGTAGACAACCCAAAAAATAAAAATAGAATGTTTATGGTTTACCTATATAAAAAAAAAATCCTGGTTTACCTAACTTTTGTATGGAAGATTGCGATTTCCAACAGTTTATTCATTAAACCAAGCTAATAAGCATGTAATTCAATGATGTATACCTAATAGTCCGTCCGTCTCAATTTATGTGATATTATTTGACTAAGTCACTCAACGAGTAAGTGTATCGCACACGTGAATACATAGGCACGCTTGACTCTTTAGAAAGTCTATTCTGTTAAGTGTTACAAGTGTTGAAAGGGTGGAATTAATCAATCTAGACATTATGCCGACAAGCGGCGAATCAAAGGAAGATTATATTGTATTTGTATATATTTCAGTCTTCATTTTGCTTTTGTCCTGTTTCAGTTTCCTTTTCAAGACGTTGCTATCTACACTCCAATATTCAAACCAGCAATCTAAGTGAATATAAACCTCTTTTTCATTTCAGGGATATTCAGTTCCTAGTAAAATCTCTCCAGCAACTCAAATTATACTTCTGCTTTTACCTGCTAATGTTCTGACTATTAGAAACATTTTGAACATACGAAAAACTTAAGGACTTCACTAAGTCTTGGAACAATGGCTATGGCATCAACTGAGAAAGTTATTCTTGGTTCTATAGCCTTTGCTATTTTTTGGGTATTGGCAGTTTTTCCTGCTGTCCCATTTTTGCCAATTGGAAGGACAGCAGGTTCACTCCTCGGTGCTATGCTTATGGTCGTATTTCGCGTCTTGACACCAGATGAAGCATATGCTGCTATTGATCTTCCAATTCTAGGCCTTTTATTTGGAACAATGGTTGTGAGCATTTATCTAGAAAGAGCAGACATGTTTAAATACTTGGGAAAATTATTGGCATGGAAAAGTATGGGAGCTAAAGATTTACTTTGCAGAATCTGTTTGATTTCTGCTATATCCAGTGCATTTTTCACTAATGATACTTCTTGTGTTGTGTTAACTGAGTTTGTAGTTAAAATTGCTAGGCAACAAAATCTCCCACCTCATCCGTTCCTTTTAGCTCTTGCCTCGAGTGCAAATATTGGATCTTCAGCAACTCCTATTGGAAATCCTCAGAACTTAGTTATAGCAGTACAGAGCAAAATAACATTTGGGAAGTTTTTATTTGGTATACTTCCTGCAATGCTAGTTGGAGTTGTTGTTAATGCTCTATTGTTGCTTTGCATGTATTGGAATTTGTTGTCTGTTAACAAGGATGTAGAAAGTGGTGCTGTAAAATTAGTTGAAGATGAAGTAGTAGTCTCTCATCCCTTTTCGCCAGCAACTATGTCACATGTTAATTCATTAGATTCTCAGGAACAGTTTTCGGTTGAACCAATGAATACCAATGGTCTAATAAATCATGCTGAAACACTTGACAATCGCGCGAAAGATTCAAATGAAGTACCAAATGATGGATCACTTCAAATGAGGGACAAGAATGTTTGTTTGAAGACTGTCGATGGATGTGAAGATCAAAACTTCACAAAGGAGAATTTGGCTGCGATAAGGAAAAGATTGTTATGGAAAATATGTGTTTATTTGGTTACAATTGGAATGTTAATATCGTTGTTGATGGGTTTGAATATGTCATGGACTGCTATTACAGCAGCACTTGCACTTGTGGTTCTTGATTTCAAAGATGCCAGACCATGCTTAGAAAAGGTAAAATGGGGCTTCATATTAGTTTTCATTCCTTCATGTTGTCACAGCAAGTTCAATAATCACATTTTTCACTTATGGATTTAACTTAAATATACCGACAGACAGACGACAATGTAAAGAATTTTTACACAACCACTTCATTTTAACATGTTTTAACCGTTTATATTCCTTTTTTCTAGGTTTCTAGACCAACTTATCTTTTAAGTGACCCGATCCTTATTTTGGTAACTCCTATAGAAACTAAACTTGATCATTCTGTTATTTCAACTATACAGGTGTCCTATTCTCTGTTGATATTCTTTTGTGGTATGTTTATCACAGTTGAGGGCTTTAACAGAACAGGGATTCCAAGTGCTTTCTGGGATTTTATGGAACCATATGCCAAAATAGATCATGCTGCTGGTATAGCAGTTCTTGCTGTTGTCATACTACTCCTCTCAAATTTGGCTTCAAATGTGCCTACTGGTTTGTGACTCCCTCAACTTGGACTTCCTACATGCCTTCACAGTAATTTGAATCAGAATGATGTACATAAATTTACTTCGACCTAGAAATATATATGGGATTATGGGTAATGGGATTATGGGTAATGGGATTAGTTGACTTTGAGATGAATCCTCCCACAATATGGGGTTTTTTCTTAAAAACTAGAGGTAGCAAATGAGCTGGTTGATCAAGTTTGAGCAGGTCGAAAATGGGCCAAACCCAAAAGTGCCCATATTTCACGTAAAAATTGCACGGGGCGCCCTATTTGGGCGTCCCTTTTTAACCTGTAGCCGCTTTGTCTTTCTGTTTGCACCTGTACCCACTTTTTAAAAAACTTCAGCTTCCCTTTCTCCTCCCCTTCTCCTCTTCTTCTTCTTCTTCTTCTGTTGTTGGTGCTGCTAAAGCAACTGTACAATTGAATTTCAAATCTTCCATTGTTTCATTAATGATTTAATCTGGAGGTCACTGCTTAGTCCCCTACGACACATTGTTTTTGATACTAAAAGGCAACGACACTAATATTAACTAGTAGCAGTTATAAAAAGTCAGGATGTTGAACATCTTGTCATAGTTCACAGAAGATTTAATATAAGTCAGGATTCTTGACTGAGGGCGACTCAATTAATGAGACTGTTAGCATTTGTGGGAAAAAATTGTACAGTTCTAGGGCTGAAGTTTTCTAGTTACAACATAGAAACTTCAGCTCTAGAGCTGAAGTTTCCTAGTTACAACATAGAAACTTCAGCTCTAGAGCTGAAGTTTTCCAGTACAAAAGAAAAACTTCAGCTCTAGAGCTGAATTTTTTATTTTATAACTGGCAAACTTCATCTCTAGAGCTGAAGTTTTTATTTTATAACTGGCAAGCTCTTCAGCTCTAGAGCTGAAGTTCGCGAGTTACAAAACAAAAACTTCAGCTCTAGAGCTGAACTTCAGGGCCGACTACTAAAATGCTGAAGTTTTGTGTGATTGCCTTTGGTACTTCAGCCCCTTGTGCTGAAGTTATGCGAATAAGCGGGTACGCTTGCAATTTTTTTTGCAAAGCGGGCACAGGTTAAAATGTGGCACAAAAAGCGGGTATAGATGCAAATGCCCCTATTTAGTGCCATATAACGTGCAATACATACATGCATGGGCGAAGCTATGTTGGCCCAAGGGTGGTCAACTGATCACCTTCGCCGAAAATTATACTATATATAGGGTAAGATATTACTTGTTATTGATTAAAAATAGACTTTGAACACCCTTACATAGCCCACTGGCAAAGGGTGTTCACCCTTATTGAATTTCCTGACTTCGCCACCGCATACATGATATGTTTCTTGATTGAAATAATTAAAATAATTTGTTCTTATAGTTCTATTGCTTGGAGGGCGAGTAGCAGCATCAGCAGCAGCAATATCTCCAGCTAGTGAGAAGAAAGCATGGCTCATATTAGCCTGGGTCAGCACTGTGGCTGGGAACCTTTCACTATTAGGCTCTGCAGCAAACTTGATAGTATGTGAACAAGCTCGTCGCGCTCAACCCTTTGGCTACAATCTCTCTTTCTGGAGTCATCTCAAATTTGGAGTTCCCTCTACTCTAATTGTTACAGCTATTGGTTTGACACTTATAAGAGGATGAAATCTGTATTTTTAGTATGCTTGTGACATGGTGAAACTAAAAGAAGACTATTATGTATCAAATGTATAGAAGACTATTTCAGATTAAGTGCTGACTTGACTGAGTTGCTTAATTCATAAAGTTTTTTCAAATAATCAAATGGCATTAGTCGCTAATCGATTCAAGAAAGAAATCTATTCTAAGTGATTCCTAAGATCAGACACATAATTATATTCCCTTTTCTTTTGGACCTAAAAAGGTGAATCTACTAACATCAAGTTTTGGAACTAAGCTAACAGGGAATTATTAATATGCTTTATAGAATTCTCCCATCCAACAATTTCATCTTGGTTGATTGATGGTTAATTTTGTCCATACCGATGTGAAATGATGTGAACGATAAAGGTTTGATGACTTGATCTACTATTCATCTGCTGTTCTGATTTCTGTTGTGGTTACGGATCTATTGTCTCTGAGCCGAGGGTCTTCCGGAAACAGTTTCTCTATCCCTTCGTGGTAGGGGTAAGGTTACATTCTACCTTCCCCAGACCCCACTAGTGGGATTCTAGTGGGTTGTTGTTGTTGTTGTTGTTTGACTTGATCTACTATCGGACTCTTCCATTAGACTTCGGGAAAATGCATAAGTATCTCCTAACCTATGACCGAAGTTTCAACTACACATTGTTCCTACCCCTGAACTATTTTAAAATGAAATTATTACCTCCCTAAATGCTCACATGGCAAAGTGAGTGTATTTCACTCTCTTTAAGAGAGTGAGCAACAAAAACAAATACTAATTTTTTATTTTTAATATGCCTTTTATTAAATATATACAGATTTTTAGTTTTTCTTTTCTTTTCTGTTTCTATCTCTTTTTAAATTTCTTTTCTTCCTCCATCCGACTAGCAACATGGCCGATGCCACCACCGCGCGCAACCCCCAAATTTCTCCGCCACTGAAACCCTAATTTATATTCTCCACCCTCTTATTTTACTAAGTCCTTAGCTGTATCCCTCATTTTCCAACTCCCCAGCAGCTCTCGTTTCTCTCTCTTATGGGGTCTGGCGCTGCCGCCGCCCCGGTGACTTGGCTGGCCGGCGACCACGACCTCCCTCGCTTTCTCATCTATCTCCCTCAGTGTAACTAGCTTTTTAAGAAGACAATTTTTTGTGAACAACTTAGTAATTGTAAATTCATTCTAAATGATTTGAGAAGTAAACAAATCTGTGAAGGATTCAGGGTTTCTATTATCTGTCCACAAATTTGCAAGAAAAATAATCAGGTTGTGAAGGAAGTCCCTCGGCGGAAGTTTTCCGACCATCGAATCCATTTTTTTTCGGGCAAATTTTGCAGAACTTTCATCAGCGGGTCCATCATATTAACAACAGATCCCACCATTTATGATTATATTCTTCTTGCATAACCACAAACTAAACAATAATTTCATATTTGATGAATAAAAAAGAAAAAGGACAGAAAAAAGAAAATCTGGAAAGAAGTTTGTGGGAGTGGGGCAGAGGCGGATCCAAGATTTGAATTTTATGGGTTCAACCTTTAAGGTTATTAGCATTGAACCCATTGTGTATTTAAAGTTATAGATTCATATCTACTATTTATTATAATTTCAATGAATTTTTACACATAAATTTATACTCGGTACCGAAAGTACTGGGTTCAGTTGAACCCGGTACATATACACTACATCCGCCTCTGAGTGGGGGCGGTCACGTTTTGGGAAGAAGGTACGTAATTGGAGGAAGAGAGGGGAAGAAAAAAAGAATAAAATAATAAAACAAAAAACAAGGGAAAGAATAAGAAAAGATTAAAAAAAATCCTAATGAAATGTACCTGGCGCGTGGCTTCAAAAATCAACATATGATATAGTTGTGGCCTTTCAAGAGTGTAACAATTTTGCTTTAAAATAGTTCAGGGGGTAAAGGATCCTAAAAAGAAAAAGTGTACAGTTGAGATTTCGATCATAGGTTGGGTTCCTTATCATTTTCCTTTAGAAGCCTTTATTTCTGGGAGGTTGAGATTAAGTAAAAATAGCACGGTATAGCCAGTTTTCGGACTGGTCAATCAAAAATAACCAGCGTTTACCAAGTCAATGAAAAATAGCCACTATTTTGCTGCAATAGAGACCGGTCCAGCATAATATACTGGAGTTCGGTGCACTTGTGTATGAACTCCAGCATATTATGCTGGACCGGTATACTTTGCTGGCTCCAGTATAATATACTGGAGACTGGAGCACCGGTGCTCCAAACTCCAGCATATTATACTGAACCAATATACTTGCTGGAACTCTAGTATATTATGCTGGAGTTCTAGTATACTTATTGTAATCCGCTACTGTGTTGAAACACAAAATCAGAAAACTGTTAGAAGAATAAAAGAAACTGGACAACAGCAAAGAATAAGAAATATTCCGAGTCCACAATTTGCTTGTGCGTCCTTAAGGAATTTTAACCCCCTCACATGTTGCCAAGGTAATGGATTAAATCCTCCCAGGATGAAACGGAATAAACCTTCCTGCAACAGTGGCAATACAAACTGCAGGGTACCAACGAACTCAAAGAACGGAGAAAAATCACACTTACGAATTTGAGAGAGAGAGACTGCAAATTAGAATGCAGTATTTTCAGAAAGAAGGAAGTTTTGTAATTTTTCAGTGTGTTAAAAACGAAGCCATGCCTCAGAATTTATAGGCAATTATTGGAAGAGGTGTGATGTTTGTTCTGGAAAAGCTGTCTGTTCAGAAGTTTGCGCGTTAATTATTAAATAATTAAATAAATAAATTTTGTCCAAAAATAATCTTATCGATCGATCATTTGACAAATCCAAATCCAAATCCAAATCCAAAGCCGAAGCCGAGCCGAGCGAGCGACGACGACGGCGCGAGGGTTCATTCTCTTCAACTCCTTTTAAGAGCTTTAAGAAGTGATTCTATATATATACACACAAATGTAGTTGTCCCTCACCAATGAGGGACAAAGTTCAAGAAAAAAGCTCACTTCATTCAAATTTTCATTTCCCTCCATTTTATTTCCCACCATTTCCAATTCACACTTTTAGACTTTAAAGCCCAATGCTTAAAGTCTTTGAATCTCAATGCTTTAAAGTCCAACAATCCCCCACATGAATGGGAATGGCTGTAACAAGAATGATCATAGATGAAAGCTGTGTGATTTGCAAGTAAGGATTAATTGCATCTGGATAAGTAGGTTTCCCTTTGAACTTTCCGTAGTGAACATATGTCGGATATACTCAGTCAATCGGTAGATTTGATATCTTTGAACCGTCGAACTTTAGTGTATACCTAGACAACTATATGTCACACAACCAATCCTTAACCGTCTTTTGGTTCTCATTGTTGTGTTCGTTTCAGCCATGAACACCGCCTGGTTTCATAAGTGCGTAGAGAATTGGCCTTACAGAATTCTCATTGAAGCGGCTTCCACTTCACACTTACATAGGTGATTCCTAAACGTGTAATCCTTTAGATTGACACTATTTGATAAATACCACATCAAACTTAGGTAATCATTAAAGAACGTGTAAAGTTCTATCCTTGTTACTGAACATTGTCTTCATCACGAGAAGGGACCAAAGATTTTACTTTGACAATGTTGAACCAGTCAATCACAACTTTGTTTGAGCTCCTTGAACCTAGATCTTGGAACATCCAAAATTCTAAGTAGAGTTACCGCCATGTTGACTTGTCCTCGGCCATAGTCCCATTCCCTTAGATGATTTCTCAACTCCCTCTCTAGTTAAGCCTTTTGTAAGCGGATCCGCCACATTATCCTTTGATCTTACATAATCAATAGTGATAATTCCACTAGAAAGTAGTTGTCTAACGGTGTTATGTCTTCGTCGTATATGACGAGACTTTCCGTTATACATAACGCTCCCTGCCCGTCCTATTGCAGCCTCACTATCGCAATGTATGCAGATAGGAGCCAAAGGTTTTGGCCAGAACGGAATGTCTTCTAAGAAATTTCGAAGCCATTCAGCTTCTTCACCGGCTTTATCCAAAGCTATAAACTCTGATTCCATTGTAGAGCGAGCGATGCACGTTTGTTTGGAAGACTTCCAAGATACTGCTCCTCCACCAACAGTAAAAACATATCCACTTGTGGACTTTGTTTCTGTTGAGCCGGTTATCCAATTTGCATCACTATATCCTTCGATAACCGCAGGATATTTATTGTAGTGCAAAGCGTAGTCTTGGGTATATTCCAAATATCCCAGAACTCGTTTCATTGCCAGCCAGTGATGTTTGTTTGGATTACTTGTGAATCGACTAAGTTTACTTATTGCACAAGCTATATCAGGTCGTGTACAGTTCATGATGTACATTAAGCTTCCCAACACACGAGCATACTCCAATTGAGACGTACTTTCACCTTTATTCTTTATAAGATGATGGTTTAAGTCAATTGGAGTTCTTGCACTTCTAAATTCCAAGTGTTTGAATTTTTCAAGTACCATTTTCACGTAATGTGATTGAGACAAAGCTAGACCCTGAGGAGTCCTCTGGATTTTAATTCCTAGAATTACATCGGCAACTCCTAAGTCTTTCATATCAAACTTACTAGCAAGCATGCGCTTAGTAGCTTGAATGTCGGCAATGTCTTTGCTCATTATTAGCATATTATCAACATATAAGCAAACAATGACTATATGATTTGGAACGTTCTTAATGTAAATACATTTATCACATTCATTAATCTTAAAGCCATTTGACAACATTGTTTGGTCAAATTTCGCATGCCATTGCTTGGGTGCTTGTTTTAGTCCATAAAGGGACTTAACAAGTTGACACACCTTCTTTTCTTTTCCCGGAACCACAAACCCTTCGGGTTGGTTCATGTAAATTTCTTCATCTAGATTACCATTTAAGAAGGCTGTTTTTACATCCATTTGATGGATTTGAAGACCATACAAGGCGGCTAACGCTATTAGCATCCGAATGGATGTAATTCTTGTTACCGGCGAGTATGTGTCAAAATAGTCAAGACCTTCTCGCTGTCTAAATCCTTTGACAACAAGTCTTGCCTTGTATTTGTCAATAGTACCATCGTCTTTCATTTTCTTCTTGAAAATCCTTTTAGAACCTAATGTTTTGTTACCTGGAGGAAGATCAACCAATTCCCA